AGTGCTCAAAAACAAGACGAACCCTATAGGAAATGAGCCAATGGCCCAATATCTGAAAATCAAATCATTCAATTTAAGTCACCAAATAATCTATCAATAATGTGATTGAAGGGATTAAATTGTTTGACTATGGGACCATGAAACTCTTATAATTTTTGCCCTCTCGCATGATTGCCTTACTCAATTCATATTGAATTGCGGCTCGGAGAGCTACAACTAAGGGCTTCCCTATACTTCATTCCATAGGATGGAATGCGGGGAAGGAGAACTCCTCCGTTCATGCGCCCCATCCGGGGCTGGCTCTCTCTTTGCTCTCGTCTCACTATTTGAGCTACCCTTTAATTACAGCTCTCCCTCACGCTTTTTGGACTCACGGGAGAGCTTCATGGTCGACAGCTCAGAGTGAGGTCAGCTTCTATGCTCCTGCCCCCCACCCGGGAGTCATGAGCTTAGTTGCGAGATTGAGGAGCTCCTTACAAGTTCTTTGGATCAGTGAAATATAAAAAGAGACATTCTTTGTGAACGGACGTTATAGGGAGTTGTAAATTATTGAGGCAAATATAACCCCCCACAAGTTATTCATTTTTCTCGTCTATCTACATTACTAATGACTTTGTATCTGTGGTCTGCTTTGCTCACCTAAAGTTAGAGAAATTATTTCAATAGTGCATACTGTGCATTGCGAATTGCACCTGGACTATTGATATCAAAATGTCATTATTCAGTCAGAGATAGCCCGCCATGTTTGGTTGAAGGTTATGTCAAAAAAAAGACTATGCACATGGCACACATGTGAAAGAAATATGTAAAGCTGTCGTTTTACTTCTTTCAATTTGATCAAAATTGGTTAAAGTATATTTTTCTGGGTCAACTAATGGTCAAATCTATTGTACCCAGCTGTTAATTGCTCAAATATTTGAGATTATTTTAACACAAATTGAAGATTAGAGTAAAGTTTATTAAAAATTTGAAGGTTAGGGACCACTGCTGTAATTTCCCCTTTTATTTTTTTACTTGGGAGACAGGCTTCAGCTCAATGGGAAACTCCTTGAACCCCGTCCACAGATGATAAGGTCCGTCCCGCATTGTCCCATCTTGAACAGTAAAATGGACAGGATGCCGAATATTAGTCACCATCCTTAATTTTTATATTTTGTTATACTTTTGTATTTTACAATTTAAATCATATAATAATAAATTGACTAAGCGACGATAAACAGATTTTTCTTCTATTTTTTTATTTTTTTTTTATTTTTAGAGCGCCCATGTTGCCACTTTCTGAAAACTCCAATGGGTGAGAATGACAATTCGATACCGTTGCCAACCTATTCTTGCCCATGAACACAAGGACTTTAAGATCATTACACTGTACATTCTTTGTTAGTAGCTAAGGCCACTCTAATCTTGAACCAAAATTTGTACTATTTTGCATCAAACATTTTGTATCCAATCTCTCACCAAATTAAAAATTATTTTCAACAATTATACCGAAACATATATCAAATGAATAGTGTTTAATCATTTTCTTCTATTTTTTCTTCTTAATAATATATTTATTTGAAAATTTATTTATCTATTATTTTACAAATACATAAATTACTAAATAAATAATTACATTAAATTAAGGAAAACATCAAATTCATTTGGTTTAAGTTTTAGTGTGATGGGTTGGAGATAATTTACAATTTGATTTAAGATTTGGTGCAAAATTTATCACAGATTTAGATATACATTCCTAGATAATATTGTTTTTAACATTATGTGAGTTGTTAAAATCTATGACATTGATTGTTTAAAGTGTTGCCAATTTTAATGTACAAAAATTTGTAAATTCACAAGAATATCATCTATGATGTCAAAGTTAATGTACATATAGCAAGATTGTATTTGAAAAAAAAAAGAAGAAAAAAGATTTTGAATATGATTTTTATGGAGAACGCATGTTGAAAAATAGGGAAGTTTTGAATTTACGTACAAAATATTTTATTGTGCAAATATATGATTGAAAATGAGTATGAAAATTAAATAATTCTATTTTAAAGGAGAATGATCAGAGAATAAATGAACGTATACCCATCATTAAACAAGGCAAATTAAATAGAATTAAAAATTAACGTTGTCCATGCTTGATTTCTATATTTTTATTATTTTAAATTTGATTGTTAATGACATATTTTATAAAATTTACAATTTTTTCTCAATTTTCAATTATATATTTTTCCCTTTTTGTCAAAATTTACTAATTTCTTTTTTTTTTTTTAACTAAATTAAGCATGGCGATAGTCAAAAATAGATGCACAACCGCCTGGAATGGAGCAAAACTGGATACAATTTGTTGGACTGGTTCTCTCGAATCGACTTACAATTGGGTTCCAAATTTAGGTTTTGCAGTTTCGAAGCCCTTTTTGATGACATTAAAAATTTAAAAATATAGTTTTGAATAGTATATTTGAAGAATTTGTGATTAAAAATTGAAAAAATTTGAATTTATGCATAAAATATTTTATTGTGTGAATATATAATTAAAAAAATCAAACGTGGACTAAATTATCTATAATTTCATCCTCTCTCATTCAGTAAATCTTAAATAAAACAGACGAAATAAATAGCAAAATATGAAATTGTAGGGCAGTGGACTGTAGACTGCTCTCCTCAACGGACCCTTAATTTTCTAGAAAATTGCGAAATGTTTTAAGCCTATCTGTTTTCAGACATTGGCATTCGATACTTTTTGTCGGGACATCTGACAGACTACGTGTTGTGCTGCCACTCGACCCTCTCATGCGCACGTTATCCCATGCTACTACATACATGCCCTTTCCCCATATCTGTCCCTTCAATATGAGAGAATTTTCTGGGAGGGCCCCACAGGGCACTTCTCCACTGGCAAAGGACGGACGCTGTCAAATCTGGCAGAGCAGAGGTCGTGAGTTCGAAACATGGGGCTCTTGAAAGACAAGAATTTATTCTTGGAAGGCAAGGGAACATTTGGAAGGCAAGGATTTATTCTTGGAAGGCAAGTGGGAACTTGGAAGGCAAGGATTATTCTTGGAAGGCAAGGTGCAACTTGGATTGGCTTGCTTGGCACTTTGTCAGACCAGGTGGGGAGCGCTCGGACCCTGGCCAGTTGGAGGCACATCCTGCGATTAACCGGACTGTGTGAAGAGGGGCCGGATCACAGATCCAAGGATTAGTCTAGAATATGACACCTTGTAAAAAAAAAAAAAAAAAAAAGAATTTTCTGGGAGGGTTTTCTCTAAATATCGAGCGTCTTCTAGTTCCGCTCGTACTCCAATTTAATGAGAATTTTTTTCAAGAATTTCTAGTTAAAAAGTGTTGAATTTACATATAATATTATTTTATGAAGAATATGTGAGTGAAAAAAAGAAAAATATATTAAAATTAAAATTATTTTCTAAAATTTCTCTTTCTATGCCTTTGTTTGATGAAAATAAATGAAATATGTTATTGAAAAGTTATGATCCCATAAAATATGTAATTGTAATTATATTTAGATTTAATCTCGATTTGACTCTAGTATTCTATGAAATTTTTTTTTTTTTTTTACAAGGTGTCCTATTCTAGACTAATCCTTGGGTCTGTGATCCGGCCCCTCTTCACACAATCCGGTTAATCGCAGGATGTGCTTCCAACTGGCCAGGGTCCGAGCGCTCCCCACCTGGTCTGACAAAGTGCCAAGCAAGCCAATCCAAGTTGCACCTTGCCTTCCAAGAATAATCCTTGCCTTCCAAGTTCCCACTTGCCTTCCAAGAATAAATCCTTGCCTTCCAAATGTTCCCTTGCCTTCCAAGAATAAATTCTTGTCTTTCAAGAGCCCCATGTTTCGAACTCACGACCTCTGCTCTGCCAGATTTGACAGCGTCTGTCCTTTGCCAGTGGAGAAGTGCCCTGGGGGGCAAGTATTCTATGAAATTGATAAGATACAAAGTCCCTGTTTAGTAGAGAATAAAATTTGTATTCTAAAATTTTAATTTAAATAAAATTTAATAATTAAATGTAATTATATGTTTCATGGGATTTATAACTTTTCAATTATATATTTTATCAATTTTTATCAAAAATTTAATTTTAATTTCCATCAATACAAGTGCAAAGTATTATAATATTTTATCGACTTTTATCAAAATCAATTAAAAATTCAATTTTAAAGTACTATAATTTCCTTTTAATTTCAACACGATGCACATGTATGTAGTAGACGTCAAGACTTATGTTCATTCAAACAAAGTAACGTATTATCTTTAATTTTTAATTTTTAACTTAGTCAAAACGAGACTTTTGCTTGTATTCAGAGTTCATAGATTCATCACCATCTAATGTCTAATAAATGCAAGACTTTTGCTCGCCCTTTAATGTCTAGCCTTGATAGAACATGTTTAACCTTAGCATCTGTTCTGATTGGGGTAGATAAAAATCAAATTTATGGATTTTTGATAAAGAAAATAAAATAAATAAAATATATAATTGAAAAACTATTAATCAATGAAATATATGATTAAACTTAAATTTTAATTTACTATTTAAGCTCCAAAGGATCTTATTTTTGTGTCCTAACATAATCTTTAGTTTTTGCATCAATTTTATATTTTTGATAATTATGTTTCAACAAAGGCATTACAGAAGATGTGTAGTTTTGATTTTGTTTTGTTTTATATATAATATTCAACCTTCAGTTCTTATCGTATGCCACGCCTGGTAAAGGCTCTACCATACACATCCGTTGTTTACTTCAGAGACAGAGAGACTGAAGAACATCATACCAAAGGACGTGAACCGAACCCTAGCCCGTACAAACCGAGGTACTCAACTCTTTTCTTCCATATCTTTGTTCAGAAATAGAAACAAATGTCTGTACTTGTACTATGTATACCCTCCCATGTACTTGACTAGTTACGAGGTCAACAATTCAAAGTTTGGGTTTTCCTGGCTGGAAAACAGTTTGAAAGTGTTTTGATTTTAGATCGCCATCCGGATTATTTGTTGTCTGTTTAAATAAGGCTTTTTGTTCATAGATCTGGGGTTTCTTCAACTTCTGTGGATATTGAGTGGATTTTTACTTATATAGAAGAAAATACTATGTTTCACTTTAGTTTTTTGCAAAATTTGGATGGTCTCGCTGTCTGTCAGCTTTGGGTCTTGTCTTGTTTAGATCTCATTCTATGATATATCAAACAAGGAACAAGGAATTAATCTATTCATACACTTTGCATTGTAATTTCTGTTTCTACTACCCAATGTAACGGAAGGTTGCTGGTCGGTGCATTCAAGAGTGATTTGATTTTAGTGCCTTCCGAAGAGAAAAAAATTCAGTTGAAAAGGGAATGGCGAACAGGTGGTGGGCTGAAAATGCGGTGTTGAATCCTATGTCACTAACTTCTGCTCCATCTCTCCACCTAAGAAACCCCGGTGAAGATGAAAATGCTGGATTCAACCGCCTTGGACAGAGGCAGAGAGAGCAAGAATTCATGGAAACAACCACGAATGCATCGAATAGCAGTGGGAGCAATACCAATACCAATCTAAACCCTAGCTCCACGAACCAAAACCCTGAAGATGGAGATAACCGAGATAACGAGCATGAAGCTGAAGATAGTCAGAACCCAACTGGAGATCTCGAAATGTCGGACCGGAGTGGCTCGGGCGGACGCCGATCTAGAGGCAGACCACCTGGGTCCAAGAACAAGCCCAAACCACCAATTGTGATAACAAAAGATAGTCCTAATGCGCTTCGAAGTAATGTCTTGGAAATTAGCAGTGGCGGCGACATTGCCGAGACGATTTCAACCTTTGCACAGAGCCGCCGATGCGGGGTCTCGGTTTTGAGTGGTAGTGGAGTTGTGACTAATGTGACATTGCGCCAGCCAGCTGCACCCGGCGGCGTGATAGCGCTTTCTGGTCGATTTGAGGTATTGTCGTTATCTGGGGCATTCTTGCCGGCACCATCTCCCCCAGGAGCCAACGGACTCGCGGTGTATTTGGCAGGTCATCAGGGCCAGGTGGTAGGCGGCACTGTGGTTGGTTCATTGACAGCGTCGGGTCCCGTGATGGTAATTGCTGCCACATTTACAAATGCAACGTATGAAAGATTACCTCTGGAGGAGGAGCCGGTGGCGGCCGGTGAAGAAACGCAATTGCAGCCAACTTCAGGAGTTAATACTGGAACTACAAGTGGTGGCGCTACAGGATCTCAGCCACAAGGCTTGGCGGCTGATCCTCCATCATCCTCCATGCCTTTATATAATCTGCCACCAAATTTGCTGCCCAACGGCCAGATGCCGCCAGATGTTTTCTGGGCTCCGCCACGTCCGCCCTCTTATTGAGTACCATTGGAAGGGTGGAATGTCGAGAAGTAATCGTTAATACATGGTAGTTTCTGTGACCCCTTTCGAAGTTCTTAGGAATCAAGAGTCAAGGTTAGACTTTCTTGACGCTTTAGTATTCCATGTAAATCACATTTCTGTCTAGGTTTTTCAACTTTTGTGTTTTATGACTATGCAACTTATGAGACTGCTTTTTGATTTTCTTCCTCTGAGCTAATGTTGCTGGAATTCCCCATGGCCATTAATGTGTTGAATATGAATTTGAAATAAAAAGATGCATCAAGCTTAAAGATCGACTGGTTCGCAAATAATTGTCCTAGGTTTAATTCTCCCTGCAGATGTTCTAGGTTCAAATTTGTATACCACCCAAGTTGTAGGTTCAAACTTCGATACCATCAATTAGGTTTTTGTCTTCTCACCGGGAACTTAATTTTTTGGAGTAGGCATGTTTGGTTACTTTTCTAAAAGTTTTACATTTCTAGCACGGTAAAATATTCGTGTTTGGATCTTTCCTTCTGTTAACTTGAAGAGTTGAGGTCCTTATCTAATGTCGTCTTTGAATTAATTAGCCTGAAATTCCATGGGGGGTTAAAGAAATAGAGTCCATGAACATTTCTCTGTTGCCCTCTTTTTCGAAATCCATCCTTGAACTCGTATAATTTGTTCCCTGCCGGTGACCGTCAAATATCCTATCGAACCCAGAATAATGTTCCTAATTTTCTCTAATCAATGTCCATTAGTCAAAACTAACAAGATCGCTCACGGGACAAATGGCATACATTTCATAGTAAATCAATTTTCCCAAACGTGACTTGAAATTGGTTGCCTTTAAAATAAAACACTTTAGTAGGACCGAATTCTGAAAATCCAGTCTCCCAATTTTCCTCCAAATTTTAGGGTTCCTAAATTGTTCGTCAAATTTATGGTCAGAAAGGCATGCGTGTTTTTTTTTTTTTACGGTTGTGCTATATGTATATAATAGGTTTACATAATGGTTTACATACATATGATATGGTGAGATATGATTGAATCAGAATTTCTTCAACCAAATTAAGAAAAAAGAACTTCCATACTCTCTTTTTGACACATCATCATTATGTTATATACAAGTAGTATTATTTGTTTTCTTTCTTATGCCATTATATGTATGTTGTTTGTTCCGTCAGCAATCTTGTTAGCTTTTACCAATAGTGTGGAATTAATTAGAGACTAATTAATGAGGAACATTATTTTGGTGCTCTGGTGGATTTGGAATAAGTTTCAGTCCAAGATTGAATTATAACAGAGGGTAAAATTCGTTTGTAATTCATAAATGAAAGTTAGTGTGACTTTACTAGTATAGAGAAGGATTAGGATCTAGATATCTTGAGTAACTACTGGGACAATAACTCTAAATAGATGAATTGGTGTGTATCTTCGGTGGAAAATGATAGAACTCATCAGCATCTTCTGGAAAACGTTCGTTTCTGTTCAAATCAGATAAAAAGCTGTTCCCTTTGGAGACGTTTAATTGTAGCTATCACGTTATTGTAGTTAATGTGGGTGGTTCCCGAGATAAATTATCTAATTTTCCTGCAACTTGGTTTTGGAAAATTGGGTAAATCCACAGCTTTTGGATAGTTTTTGGCATTAATACTTTGATTCTTGCTCAGTTCTAGAGCATTCATTTCAATCCTGATGGCAAAACCCTTGTTTTGTTTTATCCACTTTTCCCTCACAAGGGATGAGAGGAGTGGTTTTTTATTGTTTGAAGATGGTGTTTAATTGCTTGGCTAAAGATTAAACTATTAGAGGGTCAAAATATTTCCTTTAAATTTTCTTTTCAATACACCCATGCATCATCTCGTCTAGATTGTACTTATTTTTCATTGAAAATCAACACGTGCACAACATTTCATAAATAGGCGGTGGTGGCTGCATGTTATCTGCTCATCTAAAAGTTTAGGCCCTTGTTTGAGCCCCATTCTTTGGAAAAAAATCATTTTTAAACAGTATTATGACATTAATTCAATCACACATTCTTCAATAAAAGAATATTACATGTACATTCAAAATTTTTCCTTTTTTTAGCAACACATTTCCCATCAATACACTATTCAAAAATGCATTCCCCCCCCCCCCC